GAAAATATGCAACTTGGGTTCCAGATGTAGTTGTGTATAAATTTTAGATAAATGTCTGTGGTTGCTATGGCAACAAGAGTGTTCATCTCCTTACTTAATCACCAAATGGCATGCAGCTATCCAACGTCTATATCTCCTCTCATTAAAAGTAACATGTGGTTTCCTGTCCCTAAGATTTAAATGAGCTTTGTTAATTTTAATTCTTTTAGAGAAGAAAATGGCTTGAGGAAGCATTATCATCCATAGTGGAGGACACAGATGTCAAAAGAATGATGACTCATTTGCAAATTTTGGAGAAGCCACAAAATGACGCTAATGATGATGATAATGATGGCCTCACCCAGAAAGAAGATGCTTTCGAAGATTTGTCTGTGATTGTGGATAACTTAGATAATGCAAATGGTATGTCCATAGTCACTGTAGGTAACCTGTGATATCAACTTGAACTTCAGAGCTTGCATGTTGTTGAAAGACGTAGTAAATGAACTGAAGCCTCTATCCTAATAGTAAATAATGACTTACTCACCCCGCAAAAAAAAAACTGCCAAATTTGGTGACTTTTTGATCAAACAATAAATAGTAACTTCAAATTTAACCGAGAGATCATGACTTTTAAACTCTGATCGTCCTCCTCTACAATTTGTCAAAACAAATTTATGATTATCTTTTTTTACTTATTAACAGATTTCCACAAGATTGGAGGCTATCATGTCATGATAAAATGTCTTTCAAGTGAACACAGGTACATGGCTGTAGACAAATGATCAAAATTTCTTGGGGCCAATGTACTGTCCAAGTTGGAATTTTAAACCTTATTTTATGGCAGAGAATTCACTTAACTGTGATTGGCCAACAGAAGGCAAATTTATCACTAGTTTTTAATTTGTACTTAGAACCAATATTAATGTGCATATGTACATCATTTTCTTATTTAAGTAATCTCCTGAAATTGATGAGGGTTTACACTACACATGATATTTGAAAATTCTTTCGAATTGCAATTGCCTAAAGGCTTGAATATATATGTGCAATTTTAAGAGAAGCTTCAAGCATCATTGTTTTTGCATTTTTATAGAGCTGTTCCATGAGTGTTGTAAAACCAAAACCAAGGAAATCACTGTAGCCAACCAAAGGACACATTCAAACAATCCAGTGAACCAATCAAAACTTGGACAAGATGGATGTAGCTGATGCAAAACATGGGGAAATGATTGTGTACAATCGAGTCACAATTGGTTTTACTTTTGATTGGATGAAAAAGTGCCTGCCTGAGTTTTCAAAGCCAATCTTATAGCTTAGTAGATACAAAACCAATCACTCTTTGTCACTCAAATGAAAACCACTCTTATTAAAATTGTAACCAATAAAGTGTATATGACACAAAAAAATTTTTTAAGTACTTTCCTTCCTTGATATATGTTATAAACAAATAATGTTTTGAAAATGCAAAAAAAAAATAAATAAATAATAATTTGCATGATTTTTTTGTGGCCGAAATTCAGCCAATTTCCCTACAAAGGTGTCCCGGGAAACTGGGGACGAGAATTGTGTTTGTGACGTCACAGTGTTTGATATCATTGCTGTCGCGGGAAGCCGCCTTGTCATTTCTCTTGCACACAGCTTCAAATGTGCAAGTGATTTGCTAGCTAGTAACGCTAATTTTTGACCCACCCCATGCTTCAAATGTTTTCCTTCGCTTTCAGCCATATTGAATTGTTTATCAAAGACAGTGACATCACAGACATAAACCATGTGACATTTTGGCCGTGCGATCTCTGGGACAATTTCAACATGAAAGTATATGTAGCGCGTATTTTGGACGAAAAAAAGGGATTTTAAAATATTCTCACGATCTAAAGACTTTACAACCGTTTTTCTAACATTATTAACGACCAGAATCAGCGGGAAAAAAAATTGTGTCATATACACTTTAACCTCACTGGCACTACCTAGAGCTCTCAGTTCACTTGCTCAGCAAAGTATCAAAAAATTGCTTCCTTAGATACTACACTCTAGCTTAATTTGCGTCATTGTCATTATCAGTTCTTTAAGATGGAGAGCAGCTGATCTCCTTGCTGTGTGTGTTCAGAACAATCCATACTGTCAAAAAGCTGCAATGGAAATGAACATTCTTCCAAAGCTTATCACACTTCTTGAAACTGATCCATCAGACAAAGTAAAGATAAAGGCATTGTACGCCATATCATGTGAGTATGTTGTGTCCGATTCTTAAACTTATGCTTGGTAGTTTAAAAATGCTGCAAATTTTACAACACTCCAGGTGGATAGGTACCCTCCTTCCCCAAAAAGCAACAGCAAAAAAAGCACTACTTGTATTTTGTTGTATGCATTATATACATTGTGCATGTATGTATCTTTATGCATGTGTTTTCTTGGGTCTCACTGGATGCACACGTATCTGTGAAAGATATTATTAAGTAATTCTTAAAGGTAAACTGTAATTGTTTTCCCAGAGAGTTTACATTCATTTTTGTTCACATTCCTGAAGTCAGAAGTCAGAACTTGTAATTTACATGTAAGGAAACTATCACATGATGTTTGATGGAATGTTAAGCACGCTTCTCTTACATAAGTTCCAGATGTCCCTTGAACCTGCTATAAGAACATTGAGAATTTACAGGCAGTGCCACTCCTGGTTTATTGTCATTACATTTGTTTAAAATTAAAGGTGGTTAGTATTATTGAGCTTAAAAGGAAAATTTAGTGTCTTTTCTTCTAATTTATTCGTAGTCTGTGATTGCCATCATCAGCTGTTTACTAAGCTCTTGAATATACAGCAAAGCTCTCTAGTTTGATTATATGTCCAATTTTTGAGCTTCATGCAAAGGCCATAAAACTTTAATAGACAACAAGATCATTCTCAAATTCATGGACCAGCCACCAGTAAGGTGTGATCTTTCTTTAAAAATAAATAAATAAATAAATGAAAAGCCTTTTTAAACTATAAAGAAAAAACCCTGACTCCTCATAATTTCATTTATAAGCACTCTTCTTGGAATATGTTGTGGGAAGCACAATGACCTCATGGTTAGTGCGCTTGATTCTGGATGGAGCATTCTTGGTTCAAGCCCTGGCAGGGGACATATCACATTGTGCCGTGTTCTTGTACAAGACACTTTACTCTCACAATGCCTCTCTCCACCCAAGTGTATATATGGGTATCAGCGAACTTAATGCTGGGGGTGACCCTGCGATGGACTAGCATCCAATCCAGGGGGGAGTAGAAATACTCCTAGTCACTTCATGCTACAGAAACTGGAGATATGCACCAGCCTGATCATGGCCANAAAATCATTTTTAAGCTATAAAGAAAAAAACCCTGACTCCTCATAATTTCATTTATAAGTCTCTTCTTGGAATATGTTGTGGGAGGTGCTGTGACCTCATGGTTAGTGCGTGCAATTCCGGATGGAGCATTCTGGGTTCAAGCCCTGGCAGGGGACATATCGCATTGTGCTTAACTCTCAAAGTGCCTCTCTCCACCCAAGTGTATAAATGGGTACTGGTGAACTTAATGCTGGGGGTGACCCTGCGATGGACTAGCATCCAATCCAGGGGGGAGTAGAAATACTCCTAGTCACTTCATGCTACAGAAACTGGAGATATGCACCAGCCTGATCATGGCCACATGGCTGGTATGCAGATAAAGATACTTTGGATAAATTACCCCCGTAGATTAAGAACCCCACAAGTTTGAACACAAAATTTGAAATACCAGTAAATGCCTAGTAAGCCTATTCATCCGATATGGTACAACTGTACATATTTCGGAGACATTTTGATTGTCTTTTTCCGTAGCAGTCCATCATCAGAATGTGTAATTTACAAAGTACATGTAGGTTCAGTAAACTTCAGGTATAAATCATGCACTATTAATTTCTTGCAGGCCTAACAAGAGATTTCCCACCAGCTGAGGAGGCATTTTTGAAAAGTGATGGCTTCTCAATACTGATGCGAGCAATGCAAGGAGAAAATGACAAACTCATAACCAAGTCTGCCTTCATGTTACGGAATATGCTGGTCTTAAATCCTTCACATAAATGTAAATATTAATTCATTGACATTTTAAACTTGGTCATGTTTCATCAGGAGCAATTTAGTCCAAAATCTTTTCATCAAGAGATTGACAATAATGATTGATTTTGTTCTTTGTTTAGAACTCAGTTCTACGTTTCAAACAGAGAATTCAGACTTGATTTCAAAACTTGAAATTTCATTGGGTTATTACAACACCATGCACCAGGCATCTGATGATTTGACAGTTAACCCATAAGTAAAACAGTCACAGTTCTCATTTCTCCTTCATACGTAACCTTTTTTGACTTTGTCACGATAACACAGTGACTATACATGCCAAACTTTTGCAAGTCACAGACATGAGATTTTATCCTGAAAGTGCCAGGATTTTTGAAGATCTATGAATATATCCAAAGGCGTCAGAAGATATCTGAAGACATTTCAAACATTTCTCATAACATGTTCACTACTTTTCCCTTGAAAATTGGAGAGAAAGTGTACATACCGTCACTTAAATGAACTTTTCTTTCCTTGTTGGTGCAAGTTTACATCTTTTTGAAAATTGTGTCCATTTAGGCTGTAAAAGCTCAACATTCTCAAACTAAGCATGACAAACTGGTTGGTTAGGCATGAGCCCAGGAAGGGGCAGGGGGGGGGGGGAGGGGGTAGGTTACTCCTGATTTCAGGTGACAGGGATGATCGAATGGGGGCAAAATTCAAAATCCCAAAAAATCCCTGGGCCAAAGTTTAATCAACCAAAAATCTCCCATGCCTGGATATGCGGGAATTATCACGAATCTTCAGATTGTTTGAAAAAAAAAAATCCATGCTTACAATGTAAATCAAGCTACCAAAAAAATAAAAAATTTTGATCATTTTGATCAAAATTTTTCATCATCCCTGTCACTTGAAATCCAGAGTACCCCCCCAACACCTCCTGGGGGCATGAGTAGCTCTGTTTGACATCTAGGCATGAGAGTTGCCCATACTTCTGTTTTGGTCTTGTGATGGGTACACAAGAACGAGATAGCTAGCTAACTCAGAGAAGGGGGAGATAATAATACAGTGAGATATAATTAATTCTGTGATGTTTGGATGACTTAATTACCCACACTTCTCTCTGTCATCTTTTCTTAGTAACTCTCTTGAAGATGGGTTTTATTGAGCAGCTGGTTGGCCTTTTACAAGCTCCTCAGAATGCTTCACATGAACATGTAATTAGTCTGTTAAAGACCTTCCTAATAGACTATCCACCAGCCATTAATGAGTGCCAGAGACCTGAGTTTGATCTAGAGAAACTACTGACATCATTGATTACATCAGCTATGGAGGATGATCCTGATTTGCATGAAGTAAATATTGCTCATTCTGCTATTACTAACTATTTATTAACCAAGAGTGAGGTCTTTATGGGAGAATTTTAAACTGTGAGGTCAAAAGATGACGAAAAAGATGATAATGAACAAAAACACCAAAAATGCCCTAAAAACGACTAGGATCCCATTGGGGGAGGAGACCAGTATTCCCAGTTGTTTCATGCTAGCCAAAGAAAACCAACTTTAAGCACAAGTACTAATGAGACATAAAGGCTTCTCTGGTTTTTAGGATTGAATCACACTATTTTTACCTTTACCTGGCTAAGGAGGGAAAATAAACAATTCTAACTAAAAACCCTTAAATGATTCATCACTGTTCTGCCATTTCTAAAAGCCAGGATTGTTCTAGAGCTCTTTGGGCTCGTCGGATTTTGTGCAGTCTTTCCTCCCCCATTGTCGGGGAATAGTTTGTGGTGGGCCAAGGGAGGAGGTTGAGATCCTACTCTGTAATCTCTTGAAGTTCTAATAGTCTTGAATTTTCCCCTACCTAGGGGTAAGATTTCATGTGCATTTAATCCCTCTGTATCCCCTGATATGTCTCCATAGTCAGCCCAGTGATCAGCCCATACTTGGAAGCCAGTGAAACATGCATTATTCTTTGAAATAACATGATTCCCAAACTGTTATTATTTTGTTTATAGGAGATGATCCTCAACTGCAAGGAATTGTTGCACACTTGCTTCAACAAACAGGGACAGACTCAGCCCAATATTGAAAATAATGTCAGATAAGACTAATAAACATAAAATCTCTTTAGTATTTATTGTGTTAGTTGGTTCATGTACTTCCTGAGCTGTCATAATTTTATCTATCTTTGATAGTAATAGACTGCTAATGATTTCCATGAAATAGGTGAATGAAAAGTAAAGCATATCAAGATTCTCTCATGCTAGATTAAGCATAAATATATCGAATCACATGTAGTTATTGGCTAATTGAAAGGTACAGTTTTAAATGTATTTTTTATGGCTGTAAACCTAAGGGCTTGACACTAACTTTTTACATACCTTTCCATTTTGGAAAGTAGATTTCAAATTTTACTTTTCAAAATGGAGTGTGGTACCCAGACCTAACTCGGCAGCTCTCTCGATACTCCAATATGGCAGATCGGCTTTTGAAATGCTAGAATGGTGTAAACTTGTCCTTTTGGAGATGGAAAATTTGAGAAAATCATTATCGGATGGTTATTTTTATCCTGTAATTATTTTTTATACCCACGTTTTTCACTTAACTGACTTTCCAGTGGAAAGTGGTTAAGTGTCAGTGCCAAGCCCTGAGTTTACTGAGAGCTTGAATGTATTTTTTTTTACAAATGATGTGATATAGAGAAATTGAGGAAAATAAAGTTGATTAATTGACCAACTGACATGCCAACCAGCTGATCAACTGGTATTGATTAACTTACTGACTAATCACAGGCAGCCCAAACATATGATGTGAGGAGTGTTTTTGTTTGTTTGTTTGTTTCTTTTTTTTTTTACTTTTATGCAAACGTTCAGTGAAACGTGACATACGGCATATACTATTACATAATGACCAGATTTGACTACACAAAACGTGACTCTCACCTTGCAGCATAGGGAGGTGTTGTGTTACAATGGTTTGTATGGGATCGCAACGGTTTTTCTTGAAAAGTCAATTATTCTTATAGTTTTTGAATAAAATCTACTTACCCTGTTGCTGNGAGAAATTGAGGAAAATAAAGTTGATTAATTGACCAACTGACATGCCAACCAGCTGATCAACTGGTATTGATTAACTTACTGACTAATCACAGGCAGCCCAAACATATGATGTGAGGAGTTTTTTTTTTTTGTTTCTTTTTTTTTTACTTTTATGCAAACGTTCAGTGAAACGTGACATACGGCATATACTATTACATAACGACCAGATTTGACTACACAAAACGTGACTCTCACCTTGCAGCATATGGAGGTGTTGTGTTACAATGGTTTGTATGGGAACGCAACGGTTTTTCTTGAAAAGTCAATTATTCTTATAGTTTTTGAATAAAATCTACTTACCCTGTTGCTGTGTTGTATTCTTTGTTGTTTGCCAGCTCCTCAGGCCAATCTAATGCATTCTGGCAAGTTATCATTCTGTGGGTTTCCACTTTTAGTAGTGGAAACCCAACACCTCCTTATGCTGCAAGGCAAGAGTCACATTTTGCGCAGTCAAATTCGGTCATTATGTAATAGTACATGCCATATGTCACGCTTCACTGAACGTTCATATAAAAGTAAAAAAAAACACCTCACATTGTGAGCTTCCGCTGCCTGTGGACAACTAATTTACTGTCCATGACAGACAGGCAAACAGACAGACAGATAGGTGTGAGAGATCCAAAGCCCTTATATGAGACAAGCTGTAATCTTTATCTTTTCACTTTTTAACTTTTATCTTGACTTTTATCACAGGCTTCCCAAGCTTGGGCCACCTGTGCTTTTATGAAGATTTTTTGTTTAAGGACCTCTCTGAAAACCACTTTTAAGTGATGGGACCATCCTCTTAAAAAAATTTTTAATTATTATTAATCAGATAATCAACTCAATAGTAATTTTTTGAGCTGGAAGTAGTTGTTGAATTTCCTTCTGTTTGTAGCTCATGGCTGTTTCCTATGCAGATGCTCTTTGGACTTGCCATGCAATCTGGGGAGGAAGGTTACATGATGAGCCCAAAGAGCGACTCCGCGAAGGAGGCTATCTGTTTGTGGCTCACTCATTGTGTACCCTTCAATAAATCATACCTACTCAGCCATAAAATGACCATGGTAGACTGACCTGCTCTTTCTAGCACTCAAGATCATTACAGAGTTTATCTTCTGATTACCAGACATATTTAACTACTTCTGGATAATCTACCGGGATAATCAAAAGAATTTTTCATTTCTCAGTGGATCAATAGAAAGTATGCACAGTTGTATTTTTTATCCGCTAATTCAGACAGAACTTCTCGATAAGTTCTTTATGCTGTGGAAACATCTCCAGCATCTTTTCTCTCTCGCCAACTTCACAGTCCTCATACTCAAAGCCAGGTCCTGCAGCCTCGCTGAACACGCAATAACTATTCTTGTCTTCCAACTCCAAAGCAAACCACACATTCTTCGGCACATGACAGTGAAATCGTGCTTTACTATCCACCATTGGGTCTCCGATAAATTTCGTCTCGTAACTGCCGTCTTCCGATATCATGTGCAGAATAATATGGCTGCCTTTATGGTGGAAATAGGTCTCTTCAGACTTCATTTTGTGCCAAACGTTTATATCCGATCCCCGTAAAAGAAGGTAAATTACGGAATACGCGTCCCTAACTTCTCGTTCAGAGTTGTCCAAAGGTTTAATCTTGGTTGTTGCGTGAAGGGATTCCGCATAGAAGCCTCCCAATGGAAGCGGGACAAGATTAAGCGTTTTGAGAAGTTCGTCCGCCATTACGCCTAGCAGCATGTACGTCATGAGAATTTGTCACATAGCTTCCACTAATTTAGTTTTCCATGCATGTAACATGCATTGTAATCTCCCCTTCATTTCTATCGCATGTGCATTACCATACATTTGGCCACCCTAAACCTTTTAAAAACGATATTTTTTTCCCATCTGCCGAAAGAGCTATGTGTGATAGGTCGTGATACTGAGCGAAAATCATTCATTCTTAGAAACGACAGTACCGTGGTCAGAATCTTAGTGGGACTGGCCAAAAGTAAAATCCGTACAGATTGAGAAGAAAACACTGGATCGAAACAGAACTTTATTGTTTTGATATTAAAGTCATGGACACAAGATTAAAGAACCACAGCAATAACTCCACTGAGCTCATTGTTACCCTGAAGAAAAAGGTTAAGAGACCCTCCTCCCCAAATAAGATTTTGGGAGGGCTTAGCTGCCGACCCCCAAGTTTATTTTTGGAGGTTCAACTGCTCACTTTTAGTATGCACAATGTATGCTCGTGTGAAATGTTATGTTTTGACACGTAAAATCTCCATCAGGGATGTTATTACTATTGTAAATAAAAATAAACGTTGATCAGGAAAAAGAAAACATGTAACGTGTTTCTATCGAGTTTTAGTATAAATCTACTAGCGTTCTATCACGAATGCCGTCCTCTGATTGGCTACGCTACTCACGTTCTATTTAACAATTAGACCCGTAGTTGACTCGGGCTGCGCCCTCGTCAACTATCACACGATAGCAATCTCGAGCTCATAATCTAATTGTTTAATAGAAACACGTGTGGAAGTTTAGGAGAACGAGAAAGGCTGTAGGAACACGAGCCGCAAGCTAGTGTTTCCACAGCTTTTTCGAGTTCTCCCAAACTTTCACAAGTGTTTCTATAACACGATAGAAACACGGAGAACATGTTTTCTATTTCTTTTAGAAAACACCGTGGCAAAAAAAGGAAAACAACTTGTTAACTTTGATTATCAAAATATAAATTCTCGTTGCTCGCGCCATCATTACGTCAACAGCTCGTACTAGTTCTGTGTTTCTATCGAGTTATAGAAACACGATTTTTAACCAATCAGCGTGCGTATATTCTTAGGACTGTTTTCTAAATGTTTTTATAAAATAACTGAGCTACTACGCGCGCGCTCATTGGTCGATAGGTGTGATTAGATGAGAGAATGTAAACACGGTTTTGGCGTTTTAGATCCGCGCGTATTTTTAAGAATTATTTTACAAAAGCAATAGAGCACTTTTCCCGTGTTTACATAGCCTGATTTAAACACTCGGAGGGTTGGGAGAATTCTCGAATTTCCCAACCCTCTCCGTGTTTAGATGAGGCTATTTAAACACGGAAAAAGTGCTGTATTGCTTAAATAGTGGTCAATGTAATATATCAAACACGAAAGACAGTGTTTGACCGCATTTTCAAACACCGAGAAGAGAGTTGAAAATACGACACGTAGCGGAGTATTTTTGACGAACTTCAAAGTGTTTGGAAATGTGATCAAACACTGTCTTGAGTGTTTGATACATCCTCTCAATCGAAACTAAAACTAAGGAGAAAAAGGAGAATTAGAATCGTAAAAATCTATGCTAATTAAGATCAGATATCCAAACACCGTCACAGTCGTGATTTCCTTTGTTTAAACTTGATGAA